TAATAGGGAAGATAAAAAGAGCAAGAAATGGAAAGATTCAAAGACAAAGGGAAATACGATTATGGACAACAGACACGGTGGAGGATTATAGAAGGAGACTAGAAGAGTAAGTATATGAAATAGGATTGAGCACGGAGGAGGAGTGGAAAAATATGAAGGAGAGTATTAAAAAGGCAATAAATGGAAACAGGTAAAGCAAGATGAAGGGATAGATAAAAGAAAGGACTAGCGGGACAGCGAGTGCACAGAAGAGAGAAACAGATACAAAACAATGATGAAGAGATAAAGGAGGGGAGAGATCGAGGAGGTAAGAAAAAAGAAAAAAAAAGTACAAAAGAATATGTAAGGAAAAAAAGATAAAGAAACAAACCGAATATGAAGAAGAAATCAAGGAATAAAAACAGAGAAGATGATAAACAGAGAAAAAGGGAACAAGTACAAATTTGTTGTGCAGATAAAACCTAGGATAAAACGCATTTTTTAAACCGAAGTGACTTAGTGAATAGTTGGAGTATACGGTAGTAGAATGCTATATTTATCAATGTTTACCTTAGTGGTAGACTATGGAGATTTTTACACATAAATATTTAAATCCGGCCTGGCATACCTTCAAAATCAACGCTATGTAATGCAAGAAGGACCTTAGAAATATTGCAGTTTCCTTGTTACCTTTGTGAGTTCTGCCCTCCGATAACCGTTTTAGAAATATTCGCTTTTAAAACTTTGCCATCGCCAGACGTTCCAACCGTCCAATTGGTTGTCGTATGCAGAAATTATGCACGTTTTTCTCTCAAAACAGCATCTCAGGCAATAATTCATGGGAGGGGGGCTTAACCAAATGTGATTGCCGTCTGGCACACCTTCAAGGTATAGCCTACCTATTGAAAAAAAATCCAGAACTCTAGGACTATTCCTCTAAAGGTAAAAACCGCAGAAGTGGGTCCGGAAGGACGGACAAAACGCAAACAATAGCAAATTTTTTTCATTATTAAAAAATGCGCTAAAACACGTTTAGTGGGAGAGAGCAATAGAGCCGATTTACAAAAGAGGGGAAAAGGACTGTATGAAACATTATCGGGGAATCTCCATAATGATAACTGCGTATAAAATGTACGCGATGGCCCGGAATGCAAGGTTGGAAAGAGAAACGGAAGAGACGAGGATGCAAGGCAACGCAAATGGGCTTTACAAAAGGGAGGGGAACGATCGACTGTGTAATATATGTATTATACAGAATGGTGGAAAAGAAATTGGATAAAAGGGCGGCTGACAGTATTATTGGCAACAGTAAACTAACAAAACAGATGAAGGAACAGAATAGAGAGGTACTGGGAAATAATGGGAAAGTTTTCATATTAAGAAAACACCTTTTTGATGCAATGGGAAGAGGGGTGTTGATGTTTGGAGGGGAGGTGTGGGGATGGAAAGAATTAGAATGAATACAAACAAGGAGAAGATAGCGATAGAGTCGGGACGGAGGGTAGTACGATTCGAGGAAAGGAGAAAAAGGTTAGCGACGAGGATGAACACAAAAGGGATTTAGTGGAATCAAAGGAAAAACTAGGAGAGAAACAGATACGGAGGGGCTGAGGTCGAAGAGAAACGATTGAAGGAAAACTTGCGCGCAAAAAGGGGCCAAGGCGTACAAGTTTAGCTGCGGAGAGTGAGGATCGAGAATTCGAGAGGAAACGATAGGCATAGGGAGCTGATAACGGAGAGAAAGAAAGAAATTAAAATAATTGAACGGTTTAGGTGTGGAAACGAAGGAGGAAAGAAGGAAATGTAGATTATGTGGAGAGAAAGAAGAAAATATTGATCACCTGACAATAGAATACAAAGAAGTAGAACGAACAGGGAAAAGCGGAAGAGAAATATTGCATGAGGGCGAAGAGGACAGAGGTAATAGAAAAAAGAGAAGATATTAAAATATAATGTAATCTCCAATGTAATGTCATGTAAATTTTTATAAAAAGTCTCGAACTAGAGGTTCGTTTCGGTTTAAAAACTTTACAAGGACAGTTGATGCGAGGTTCGACTCGGAAAATAACCGCAACACTCGATTAGTTGCCCAAGTCGAACCAAGTTCATCGGATTTATAAAATTGTGCCTTTTATGTAATATTAGAAGATTTATAATAATAATAATAATAACAATGTTTATTCGTTTTCAACAAAAATGTAAGAAACAAAACTTAATTAGGTATATCGAATATGTGTCATAAACGTAATAGTAAAAGTAATTCTAGAGAATGAATAAACATTCCAATAATCACAGTAGTGTGTCTACTTGTACGTGTCGAGATTCGAGAACGATTGTGACCTACACCAATAGTCCATTTTTTATAGTAATTACTCATGACATGAAAGCGAATTTTTCCCTAAAAAAGTTTCATATGTAAAATTTGCCGTTGTCGTTTCTATTTGTAGCTTCCTAGCTTGAGCTAGGTGGCTATTGCGATCACCGTTTTTTGTTAAAATGTCATCAAATGTCGACGTTTTAGATCATTTTAAGCAACTTTTAAAGAATAAAATTTTTGTCCGTCTGTATGTATGTGCGTACGTTCGTACGTTGGCAATTTTCCGAGGTAACGGCTCGGCGGATTTTGTTCAAATTTTGGACATGTATATTAGGCATACGGAAACGGAAAATAACGATTTTTGAAAAAAAATTTTGGAGCGCCGTAACGGCATCGAACTTTTTTTTTCAAATTGCAACCTACAATTTTTATTCTATTATTTGGAAGACCTTATTTTCCTGTGTACAACCTACAAAAAATTGGGCCGGGTTATATTATCAAAAAACGGAGAAAAAAATTGTCAAAGTCAAAAAATTGTGTTGCATATGTGCAAAACGCAACGATCTTGTTTCTGAAGCAATTTAAACGAAATTTCTATGGTAAGTCCCTTTAATAAAAGCAAACAAAATTCATGCGCAAAAATCGTGTTGCGCATGCGCAGAAATGCAATTTTCTTATTTATGGAACAATTAAAACGAAATTTGGATGGTAGGTCCTCCTAATAAAAGAAAACAAAATGCATGCGCAAAAAATCGAGTTGCGCATGTGCAACATCCAACTTTCTTATTTATGGAGCAATTTTAACGAAAATTGGATGGTAGGTCCCTCTAATAAAAGCAAACAAAATGCATGCGTAAAAAATGCACCTTTCTTATTTTTTCCGTCTGTATGTACGTACGTATGTTTGGTGGCAATTTTCTGAGAAAACGGCTCGACGGATTTTGTTCAAATTTCGGATATGTATATTAGGCATACCGAACAGAAAAATAACGGGCTGGATTTTTGAAAAAAAATTTTGGAGCGCCGCAATGGCATCAAACTTTTTTTTTCAAATAGTAACCTGAAATTTTTATTGAGTTATTTGGAAGATCTTATCTTCCTGTGTACAACCTACAAAAATTGTGTCGGGTTTTATTACCAAAAAATGTTTCAAAACCCACTCGTGGGTATTGCCGCGTAACACATTGTAAATGATGAGTAATGGGCAAATATAGACCATAGCAGCTATCAATTAGCGAAAATCTGAAGTCTCTTGGTGACCCAGGGGCCGAGATCTCGATGGAACAGACGGACGGACATAGACAGACAGACGAAAACACAAGCACATAAGCGTTACCTCAACATCGTTGTGATACACTAAAAAGTTGGCATTGCGCAGTTTGCGCGCATATGCACACTTGATTTTTACGATTTGCGATATGTTGCCATTACTAGAAGCATCTGTGGTTAAAATTTCAAAGAAATATCTCCACAAATAAGAAAGTTGGCAAATATGGAGTTCAGTAAAACTGTGGGAAATGGGCGACCATAACAGCTATCAACTAGCGAAAACCGGAAGTCTCTAGGTGGCCGAGATCTCGATGGAACAGACGGACAGACAGACAAAAACACGAGTACTTCGTTGTGTTACGCTAAAAACTGAGAAAAAATGTCAAAGTTAATTAAACTTATGTCTTATTATCTCACGCGCTTCACAAGAACTGCACAACGAAATGAAAACATCGATGCTCGTGCGATTGCTGAAGTTAAGCAACGACAAATACGGTCAGTCGTTGGATGGGTAACCGCGATGTATTGTCTCGTTTTATTAAATTTTTTTTAATAGTAATGCACATTTTTTATTTTAAAGAGATTTTTGGATTTATTTTTTTAACGCCGTGACCTCATACAAATGTTTTTTTTTTCCAAATAATAACTCTCATTTTTTTATTAACGAGCAAAGTGGAGTGGAGTCATCAAATGTTGACGTTTTAGATCATTTTAAGCAGCTTTTAAAGAATAAATTTTTCCCGTCTTTAAGTGCGTACATATGTTGGCAATTTTTGGTTTCAGCTAGGAAGCTATTCTGTCAAGAATTTGACACCTGGTTTTTGTAGGTAGGTAAATGTTACTGCTGAGAATTGTTTAGGTTGCACAAAGATAAAAGGTAATACGTGCACTAGAATATCCGTATACGAATGTCAAAAAATGTCATAATCGATGTACTCTCTTATTTAATTGTATGTAACGTTAATGAAACGTAATTTGGTCCTTAGTTTAATCACGTTTACTCTGTTAATGCGAGTGGTGGTAATGATCACTACTGCTCGCGAATGTAAATTATTCTGTACTCAAAACGTGTAACACGAATGAAATTTAAATGATCCCCCCTAAATTTAGTCATTATCCTTCGTTTTTGATCACATTCACGGTTCAGGTTTTGTTATAATTCATACGCCGTGCCTGAAAATGTAAACGCAACTTTTAAATACCTACCAAGTTCAAATTGGGCGCGTTTCTGAAATAATTGACAAATACATCAAAAGTATGTTTATTTGAAAAAGAAAAATTATATATAAAATCTACTTAAAAAAAACTATGTTTAGTTAAAAAAAACCAAGAAAACACACAGTACGTTTTTCTTTTTTGTACTGTTATCACAAAAACAGTAATATTTGTACACTATACATCTAATGTTTATTCCTACAAAGCTTTACTTTATAGCCTCTACGATATTACGAAAAAACATTAAACTGCAAAATTAACGATCGACCTGCTGATTGAAAACCATGACTTACGATAATCACATTACTGAAGAAGGTTTAAGTATTTTAAAACTTAATATCACAAGGATAACTGAAACTTTTACAACTCCCTCGCCTAATATTAAAAAAAGAACTTTGAAAACAAGTCCGCCACTTTTTAATTTGGCGAACTTGTTTTTAAGCGCACAGGTACAAAAATATCAGCGAAATATATTTTGTGGGGATTATGCATTATTATAATACATATATCACTGGATATATCACGGACTTAAAAAATCCTATCAACAATATATATAAAAAAGACCCTCGAAACAAGGTTTGAAACGAATACTGTTAATTTGTACAAACTACACACTACATCACGCTTCGCTTATACTTGTAAAATATTCTTTCCATTATATATAAAAATATAAAACTAAAAATCCTACAACTGTTACCATAAATTTTTTGTGTGTGTTTTAGTTGTCAGATTACGTACATGTTCAGTCTTGAAGATGATTAATCGATGTAAGAGCGATACAATTTGTTCTTGCTAAGTTCGTACTCGGTGCTGATCATCACAGTGCTGCCTCTGGTAATTTTTCTGTTAGAAACACGAGCGATTAGAATCCGCGAGCTTAAAAAACTTGGGGAGAACTTACTTGAGAAATTGCGGCAGGAAAGAATTCCAACCGGCTGAAGTTTGTTTGAGGGTGAGATATAATTCGAAAGTGGAAGCGGTCGATGGATCACATTTTACGATGCTCAATCTTCTACAATCTTGTTCACCTTCGAAATTCAGATACAAGGTACATCCTCTCAAACCGCAAGGCTCCGAATCGGCCATCGCAAGAATATCGCGAGATATCCGTTGCAATAATCCGCACGGTAAAAGGACCTCCCCACAGGATAAGTGAGTGCTTTTGGCCGCCCTTAATTCGGCTTCCAACCTTGCTGATAAATCACTACTGTACTCGTCATTATCCCCAATAAATGGATCATAATCCCAATCTACAAGATAAATATCGTCAAGCTTTTGAGGGTCGGTAAAAATTGAAAGACTCTTACCTTGGGTGGTATAATTAACGTTGTTGATCGGCAAAACTTCCATTTTGCTTAATTTCTAATAACTAAATAATATCACAAAGGAAACGGTGTGCGGCTCGCCTTTCCCTAAGAAAGCTCGAGGCTAACGACTACGGCCAAATTACACACACTACACTCTTACATAAAGGAATAATCATTTACTGCTACTGTTGCGCTTATATACTTTCCATCCCTACCAAAGTACCCGAAAACACGACCTAGACCGCTCGTACGGTATCGCGAAATCAAATGGAAATGTAGGGAAGCACGTACGCACTGTTTTCCTTTGTTCGAGAACCCTGTAAGGATTTAAATATAAATATGTAAAATTCGGATACCCTCCTCTTAATTATCGATTGGATTTTCAGTACAAAAGAGGAGATATTGAACGAAAAAGGCATCGTATAATCCTAGGGGCCGCGAAACTAGTTCTTCCATTACATTGAGGAAGCTTTAAAAATGTTCGAAATTTAAAGTAATGAAATTTGATAGAAAATTCAAGGTACCTTATTCCAGATTGCCTTGAACTAAATTGCCCGAACGCGCTTTGTTTACCCACTGCAGATTCATTAATTACACGCCACCGCAGGCATCATCGCTCGTAATTGGGACCTTTTTTTCTAAACGCACATCGCTCGCTTTGTTTATTTAACGGATTAATTGGCGAACGAAAATCGAGTTTTGAGTGTTGCGCGCATTTACTTTTAAGGTGCAAATCCTCCGAAATTGTAGGCATCGGGGGATTTGACGCGGTGGCCTCCCAGTGAAAAATGTCTAATTCCTTTGCAAACACAAAGAACATAGCGGTAAGCCTTTCCCTTTCAAATAAAACCACGAACGTGTATATACCCCCCAGAAACCCTGGTTATTAATAGCGGGCTTCCTTCTTTGTTTCGAAACTTTTATTTTAAGCCCTTCGCTGTGTTAAGTCGAAATACGTGAATAAATTTCATCTTATCACCCGAAAATTTAGTGAATTAGTTTTGTGCGGCGAAAGGTTTTTGTTATATGGGCGCAATGCGATTCAAATGCAAATTCACTTACAATAACCACCCGTTGTATAAGTCAAACAAAACATTTAACTTCCGTAATTGCGTTAAATTCAGTCATCGCGATTTTTGTAGTATTTCCGCCGGGGTTTTAGGTCATATGTAAAGAAAAATCTAGTACAGTGGATTACTAGTTTGCGAGGTGCCCATTATCGGCTCCCTTCAGTTCCTTTCTTATTTCCCCCTGTCCTTGTGTACACCTTTAGCTTCCTTTAAAATGTCGTGTGCTTAATTATTCCTTCCTCTGAAACTAAAACACGCTTACAGCACATTAAATTCACTTGATCGTTAGCAAAAAAGTCGCAGAATCGTCTTTACCTTATTGTTTATAGTGGGAAACTTAAGAAAAACCAAGCACATAAAACACAATTAATAAAGCTAGTGATGAATGATGATAGCAAACCTTGTTTCAATGCTTTTTTTTTGTATATACTGTTGATATAAGTTTTAACTCAGCAATTTAGTCAGTGATATAATTAAAATTAATATCTTGCTGATATTTTTTGCACATGCGCGCTTAAAAACCATTACAACAATAAATTAAACGGTTCAATTAATCTAGTGGTTAATTTCCATGGAAACAAATTGACTTACATAGGAGGTTTTTCGACAAGTTGATGGAAGACCGGCACTCAGTTTTAAATATTTAGGTGCAGTTTCTTCAATACCTAGTGTTAATTACATAGTTTTTGGATTTCAAGCCAAATTTTCTCCAAAAGTACATCATTTGAAAACAGGAAGAGATTTCAGATTTCAGTAATTGCAGAGTCATCTGTCAAGGAAACGAAAATATTTGATGTACCATAACTCATCAAGGACTGCTATTTATTTATTTATTGTCCCTCTCTTGTTCTGGGCCCTCCACAGGCTTTCGCCCAATTACAGAGTGAACCGCATAATGTTTTATTGAAGTGCCTCTGCAGAAGGTGGTAGGTACTGCCAATGACTATGACAGTGTTTCTTTTATAATTTTTTTCTCTAATTATAAGATATCTTATAATGATAAGATATATTATAATCTTATAATTAGAGAAAAAAATTAAAGAAGAAACACCGTTAAGTCATTGGATGTACCTATCATCAGCCTGTAAAAAAATCAGCTTCATTCATCCAACAGTAACCTAGTATAGAAAGTTCGTGAAAAACCGACTAAGAATTGTTTTTTTACGGAGTTATCAGATGTTCGCGTTTTTTTTAAGTTTTTTTTTTGAGCTATTATCAACGGTTTCATTTGGTGTATAACCTATCTTCTCGAAAAACAACCTTTTAGAATTGGTGCCGCAAGAAGTACCCGCAGCGCCTGTAATATAACCTGAGGCGGCAGACGGTCGATTTTAGCATACTCGTAGAATGCAAAATGGAACTCCATCGAGTTTAAATTTCGATCATTCTCGTTAAGTGGCTTTCGAGCTAGCTCCCTTGCTATGAGAAGACAGGATGAGATTTTATTTTAAAAAGGCAGTTGGAGGATCCTGTGTATATCATTTAATCATAATCTGCCAAAAAAGCAGAAATATTTGATATACCCTACAAGTTACTCCAGCAATCGAGGATTCCCGTACATGCGAGTGATATTCTAAAAAACTACGTAGTTTTAAAACCAAAGGAAACTTTATTTTCAAAGAGCAATTGAAGGGTTGCTTATAGGTATTTTAAACATAACTTATCAAAGAATTTTTGGTGTAGGTGCTGCAAAGGTGCAAATTTCCTAAAAAAAGTACGTAACGTAATAATTGGGCTGTGCTACAAAATTCGAGTGTGAACTAAAAATCATGTAATTTTAGAAGGAGGGGGGCGTGGAAGGTTTTTTGTAGATCCTTCAATTTTTGGAAAATGGTTTTAATTATTTAATTATTGTTTTAATTATTTTTATTTTCTCATTTTTTAGGGGAGGGAGTGACAGTGTTTAAGCTTCCATGGTTGCGTAGTCATGGTTATTTTAGATCAGCGATTTGGAACCTCCTCTTGATTTATAAAAAAAAATGTAAATAAGATGGGGACGAAATTACTTATTCCATGATAAAATACTTACCTGAGACTGCACTAGAATATCTTTTAAACTTGTATAACTTAATATTCTTACAAGGTGTTTTCCCATCTAAATGGAAAAACGCTATCGTGATCCCTGTACCAAAACCAGGAAAAGACACTGCTGAACCAAGCAACTACAGACCAATATCCTTAACATGCTGCTTAAGCAAAGTATTCGAGAGAATGGTTAATCTTCGCCTTGTTTGGATCCTAGAAAAGGAGGAAAGACTTTCCAAACGACAGGTCGGTTTCAGGTCAAGGCACTCAACGCTAGATGCTCTCGTCTATCTAGAGAACTCTATATTGCAAGCGTTTGTGAACAAGGAACATTTAGTGGCAATCGCTTTCGACCTGGAGAAGGTGTACGATATGTATTGGAGGTTCGGCATTATGAAACAGCTTCACGAATGGGGACTACGACTTACGAGGCAACCTACCAATAATCATAGCTAGCTTTCTAACGAACAGAACCTTTAGAGTTAGAATCGGTACACACTTGTCTCTGGTGCGGTCACTCGAAAACGGAATACCACAAGGCTCTGTCCTTAGCGTGAACCTCTTTGGAATCGTCATCAACGCCGTGGCAAACTCGGAAATCGCAGATTTAGTCATATATGTCGACGACCTCACCATCTGGTTACGCCACCGCTGCATGAAGGTCATAGAGACCGAGCTGCAGGGTGAGATAGACAGAATCTCAACACTCATGAACAACAGAGGTTTTCGGTTTTCAGCTGCCAAAACACAATGTGTCCACTTTTGCCGCTTAAGAACGCCCCACCAACACCCGGCTCTAACTCTGAACCACCAACCAATCCCGGTAAAAAACCATAATTTTCATAACTTTTATTGTTTCCTGTTGACAATATAATATTGTATTAGGACATGTCACAAAATGAAGAAAAAAGAAAGAAAAAGGGAAAGAAAACATTGACATAATTTAACATAAAGATAACATAACATAACTTAAAACCTTGAGCACTTACTTACTTCTAAAAACTCGTCGACAGTGTAAAAAGCATTTTCGCTTAGAATATTTTTTATTGATCTTTTAAAATCTTTGAGCGTATGCAGGTTTTTAATTGAGGTTGGGAGGTGGTTGAATGGTTTGATTCCTACAGAGTTTGGAGATTGTTTTGCGATTTTTAACCTTGCCATAGGTATACTAAGGTCTCCTTTATTTCGGGTGTTATACGAGTGAAATTCATTGTTGCGCCTAAGTTGGTGTTTATTTTTGTAGATATGTGTTAATACTTCCAATATATATAGCGATGGAAGGGTGAGGATGTTATATTTGATGAAATATGGTCGGCATGACTCCCGCTGCTTTATGCCCAATAAACATCGTATTATACGTTTTTGTACAATAAAAACTTTAGTGGCCAGTGTAGATGATCCCCAGAAAAGAACACCGTAACATAACCTTGACTGAACCTCCGCATAATAGAAGGACAATGTGAAATATACACCAATCAACTGTCTGATACTACGGATTTGAAAGCAACAAACATTAAGCTTTTTTATCAAGCATAAGCAGTGGCACTTCCAGTTTAACTTTGTATCCAAGCACATTCGCAGGTATTTCCCTGATTGTTGCACTGGGAGATTAGCAAGAAAGGATAAATCGGTGGTGGGAGAAATAGAAGAAAATAAAATGCAGTACGTTTTGCCATTGTTTAAATGAAGTTTGTTAAAATTAAACCACTCTTGAAGCGTCGATAGAATTCCACTTGCCCGTTGTTGTAGGTCAAGAATAGTTTTACCGGAAACTATTGCAGTAGTGTCATCCGCATACATGATTACAGAGTTCAAAATGAAAACAATATCGTTGATAAATAAAAGAAACAGGATTGGCCCTAAAATCGAGCCCTGTGGTACGCCAATGTTCATCGGCAAAAGGCACCAGGCGCAAATACTAGGAATGGTCTTCGACGAACAACTAAGATCGGGCGCCCATATAAAGTATACAATCAGCAGATGCCAAAAGTCCTTAAACATTATGCGATGCATCTCTAACATCCGTTGGGGTGCCAATAGGGACACACTAATCACAGTGTATAAATCTCTAGGAGAGACCAGGTAAC